ATGCACTTATCGGTATTTGCAATTGCGAGTTGCAAAACTGGATATTTTTAAAACATAAATGCAAAACTTGGTATTTTAATTTTAAAAGTATTTTTTTAAATTTTTGGTAGGATTTCGGAATGAAGAGCATAGTTATTTCAAAACAAAATCAATAGAGCCAACTAAAAACAAAATTTAAAACGAATACATATGTTACATATTACTGACAGCTTTTTATCCTTCCTGAAAAATTTTGTAACTAGCAAATACCGAGTTTTGCATTTAGGGGACTCATATATTAAATGAAATTTCTAGACTTTGTTATTCTATTAAATACTCTTTCACTTGTACATTTTTTTATTCCTTGAAATTTATTTTATCAATAAGTGGAATTCTCGGTGGAATTACTAAAAATTAGTTTTTATGACCTTAATCATCCATTTTATAACAATTAATAAATATTGCTAACATTTTCTAAAAAAAAAAAAAAAAATTAAAATGTAGATTTGGGTTTCATTCAGAAAAGTCCGTATCTGGTGGATCGGCCATATTGGATTGACAACATTCACGCGAAGTGATACCGTTTTGAATGTTTGAAAAAGATACTTATAGCGTCTCCCTGCCTTATAACTCCATGATTTATCTCCTCTAAATAGCATCGATACAGGCGAACTAGGCGCTATCTTACAAGCCCTTATCCATATAAGAAATACCAACAAAAAGAAAGTTATTGTTATTACAGACTCCCTCGATTCCATACATACAATTTAAAAACTGTATCCTCGCCATCCAATTGCACTTCTTATTAAGGCTGAATTATATCACCTAAATGAAGAAGCTATAGACCTGAAGATACTATGGGTTTCTTCACATGTAGGAATCCTGGGCAATGAAGAAGCTGTCCTCCGTGCTAAAGAAGATACAAGAAACGACGACGAAGTAATTTTAGTGCGCAAAGTAATTACAAGCGAAATACAATCCAGTTTCAGAGAAAAATGTGCTCGCGAGTGGCAACGTACATACTTGGGATAATTCTCAATAAAAACTAAAATTTATCAATCCATCAGTGAAACCGTAGCTGCAACTCAATACAAATCGCGTTAACAAAGTAAAAATTACTCGATTACGTTTAGGTCACACAAACCTTACACACTCTTACCTAATGTCTAAAGAAAACCAACCTGTGTGTAATATTTTTAACATAAATATTACTGTCAAACATTTATTAATAGACTGTCCAAAATTTGTCAATGAAAGATCAAATAATAACTTACTGAATAATTTATCTTCATTTGGAGTGAGGGTAGCCATATGTGAGTAGTAGGGATTAAGTGTAAAGGTTAAAGAAAAAGTCCTTTATTTCTCACAAAGTCAATTTATTGTCGACCGGTTTCGAAGTTGTCACTTCATCATCAGGCACACCTTGACTAATTCCATAAAGGAAGCGCTACAAAAAGTTTAACAGAACGAGTTAAAAAAGTCATAAGTATTTTTTTAAGTATTTTTAAAAAATGTTTTAAATGTAGGTTAGGTTAAACCACCAGATGTCTTTTTGAATAAAATAATTAATTAAAACACATTTAAGACAATTATTAACTAAACAACACAAAATAGTTTTACAAGCACAAACAGTTTAAATTTTTTTTTTTTTTTTTTTTTTTTAAACTGTTTGTGCTTGTAAAACTATTTTGTGTTGTTTAGTTAATAATTGTCTTAAATGTGTTTTAATTAATTATTTTATTCAAAAAGACATCTGGTGGTTTAACCTAACCTACATTTAAAACATTTTTTAAAAATACTTAAAAAAATACTTATTACACATGACTTTTTTAACTCGTTCTGTTAAACTTTTTGTAGCGCTTCCTTTATGGAATTAGTCAAGGTGTGTCTGATGATGAAGTGACAACTTCGAAACCGGTCGCCAATAAATTGACTTTGTGAGAAATAAAGGACTTTTTCTTTAACCTTTACACTTAATTTATCTTCATTGTTAGAAAAAAAATGTCATGATCAAAATATTGTTAAATACTTAAAAGACATCCATATTTTTCACACACTATAATGCCTGACAAGTCGCTGATAACTCTGTGCAGTTGATGCGACATATTTCTTTAAAATAAAAATTATACACTAATATTTCTTTTAAAAAAATTAATATTGATAATTGAAAAAGACGCTAATAACATGTGATCAACAACAATACACCTACTCTCCTTCTTAAACCTAGATGTAAACAAGAAAATTCTTGACCGATAAGTTATACACCACAGTCTTCTTTGCCGACTATAGTAAACGGTTGGAATTAATTTTAAAGAGGAGGTGGCTTACAGACACAAATAAAAAACTTATGATTAAAAATTTAAAGAATTTTCATCATCCGTTGAATCTCGAATTTATAAAATATTTAAACGTGTAAGGAAATAGATGTGAGTTAATACTAATTTTTCTTAGGAAATTAAATTTGATAATTACCATGATAATTGTGTTTCAGATAATTATTAATAGTAAATCTTGAACATAGAATTTGTTTCAGATATTTTTTATCACAAATTTGAGAAACTCTAAAATGGTGGTTCACAAGGGTAAACTCGTAGCGTAACATAAACGAGAAATGATTTAACTTGGAACGAAATACCGAAAGCGAATAGTAGTATTAGCACGTTGAATTTTTTGGTTTGTGAAGCATTGGCATTACTTAGGTTAAACCATGTGATAATTTTCACAAGCCTTGATTTTTAAAACCATTCTATATCGCCTTTTGATTAAGGTTTAAAAACTTGTTCTAGCAACTTATCCAATAATAATTGGCTCCTTTACCCCTTAAGCCTGCTCATGTAAAATATTTGGGCTTCTTACTTCGCCTATTTATATTCTATTAATAAAGGACAGAAGGATGAGTATTGCAACTATGTTAAAAGAAATAAATTGGCTTTCAGTTCAGAATTATGTTCAGTACATGACTGATATTTATTTATGAAATAAAAAAGATAGTACCATCGCATCAGATCTATTAGAAAAAATTCAATATAATTCCCAATCTGACTTTAATGTATGGCAAGCCATCACTAAAAGTTCCCAAAATACAATTTTTATTAAAGGTTTAAAAAAATTTAATAGACTGCCTACAGAAATAAAAAAAACAATAAATGTATTCAAAAGTAACCTCAAACAATACTTGATAAATAAACAGAACGGATATACTTTCTTGTGATAATTTTCTTTAAACCTGTCCTTTTTAAGTATTTCCCTTAATTTATTGTTATTTTACCCCTCGTTTTATCTGCATTTATTATAGATTTGTTTTGAGATCATGTACTTTATTTTAAAAAATTACTTGTTTAAAAAATTACTTGATGTTATATTAATACCACTTACTGTTTAAATTGTTAATAGTTTTGTGAAGATAGGTTATAGCAACTTATAGCCACAAAACTATTTTTGTTTTAAAGTATGTAGATCCAAAGAGAGCAATGTAATTTATAAAGGCCTTATTTCAACATACGAATAAATGACAACTTTATAATTAAAATGAAAAACAACAAAATACCTTGGTATCATAAATGATCCAAATTTGAAATGGGCATTATATCCTACCTCTCTTTTATATAATAAAAAAGTGTTTTGTATAAGAACATTATATTATCTGTCTTGCTGTACTTTTATTTATAGAAAGCCTGAATTGAGATATTTATTATTTGCAATAAATCAAAAGAAGTATACATTTTTAAATAATTTGACATTTTATAGCCATTCACATATCACAGTTGACATCTTGATACTTGACAGGTACAGCCAAGCATTATTTTGATTTTTGCCAAATAAAATAGCCGGTTAATTATTCTATGGGGTTGCGACAGAGAAATTTGATGAAGGTGTTTTTGTGGCTAGGGGCGAAATAGTAGTACGCTTAATAGCACCACCATAAAAAGTCATTTTTAAGAACTACTTATATATTTTTCATAAATTGGCAGGCTTGGTGACTAATTTTGAATGAAAATAGATTTATAGTGCCGGCATACACACATACAGACGACCAGACTTAAAATTTTTTTTTGGATTTTCGGATTCAAAATGATCAGAAACATAAAAAAAAGTTTTAAAAAATGGGGGTAAGAAAATTTTTTCATCTGCACGAATGCAATACTGAGTTCCCATAGGAAGGACCTTAGTAAAATCTGAAATGTCAAAATTGAAAAATCGAAAAAAAAATTAATCCCATCGTTGTCCTACTATGAGCATGGCCGAAAAAGTTGTAGAATAGGTTACAGTTTGTTGAGAAAAATTTTAAGGAAAATCGAGCAGTACGTGTTTTTTGTAAATAGATAATTTATTCTTAAAAGTTAAAATTCTAATAGAAGCTTGCTTCGAAATATTTTTTTAACATTTTTTACGAAAAGTATGTTTTGAAAACAAAGATTTTTTTGTTCTTATGAAAATTTCATTCAGATCATTTTTCAAAAAAATCCAAGATGCGAAAGCTAAATATCTATTGAATATTTATTTTTATTTTATATGTTTAGGCATATAAATTGACAGCTTTATATGCCTGAGCAAAAATAATGACGTTTAAAAAAATATATAAGTAACTCTTCCTGTATTTTTTTTTTGTTTTATATCACTTCCGGTTATTCATAGTTTATTCCATGTACATAGTATTTTAACTCATCGCTTTTTAATGTTTATATATTATTATTTAATTTTTTCTATAAATATTTGATCGAACTTCATGACCTCTTCTCTCAAATTTTCTTTATAACACTTTCATTCAATATTAATTACTATCTACTACTTATTTAATAGTAGTTGTTAAAAACACAAATTTAAAAGAATGTCAGAACGTGAGAATAAAAACAAACAACTAGAATAATAAGTGTAAACATTTTTATTAAATTTGTTTACAAGAATTACACAGTAGTACCAAAATAAATATTACTTATTGAATTAAAATAATGTTAGTGTCTTTAAGTGGTAATAATTATATTTTTGTTTAAAGTGTATCATCTATTTTGATGGTAATGGTGATTTTTTACTTTGCAGGATGGCGCGAGTCGATCTTGTCTTTACCAAAAAAACTACTTTCTGGTACGAGCCGGGTGCACACAAATTCAGTGTCAGCTGACAGTGAGGTAAGTTATTTTTTTGTTTTTAATTATTTATGTAAATTGCAGAAAAAATGGTATGTCATAAATTAAATTATTAAGTCAAAAAATAGGTTTGAACTAATATGTAAAAGTGAAAACAAAAAGTTATAAAAAGTTGTATTTTTGCCAATAATTCACGAAATGTTTAATGAAGATATACATGTGATCTAATAATATCAATAATAATAATAAATAGGTTTATTGACTCTATTTCTCTATACGTAACTGCAAGATATTCTGAAATAAAGAAAAAATATTATTAAAACAAACGAAACTATTTATTTACTTATTTATTTATGGTACAATAGTATATATATTTATATATAAAAAAAAAATACAAAATTGATGCAGATAATAAAAATGGCAATCATAGTTGTACCTAAACACTCGCTGAAAAAAAAAACCATAAAAGAAAAAATTGGATGTTTGGGAACAACTGTATCGTTAAAGATAAATACATAACTAATCACGAAAAAGCAAAATGAAATTGTCTAACACTGGTAAAAAAAATATCAAGCTGTGATTTAAATGACAAATAACTATTGATGAGTTAGTTAAGTTGAGATAATTTCAAAACATTGGTTCTGCTGTAAAATAGGCTATGAATTCTAGCAGTGATCCTGGGAGTTCTGAAGTTGAGAAAACTTATTATGGCTTTATATATAAAAATAAAATTTACTATTTTGTATATATGTAGAAGTAACAACGTGTTTCAGTAGCTCTTAGCTTCTCCATCGATTGTCACTTGGTTTAAACTCGTTTTTTATAGTGATTTTCTTATCAATTTAAAGCAGTTATTGTAAGTCATACATTTTTGTATATATTGTCATCTAATATCACCTGTGTAATTTGCTGTTACTAAAATTAATTGCACATAATAATTTTTTTGGGCCTATGTGTTCTGATGATGTTAGGATTTTCCGTGGAATAATAGTGGAAATTATGTCTATTAACGAATCCGTTCTTGTGGAATGTAGATTCATCAGAAAACAGCACTCTATAAAAAAAAAAATGGATTTTGTTGCAGTTTAGTTTGTGCCCAGTTACAAAACACCATTCTATTATCAAAATCGGTGTCTTTTAGCTCTTGATGCAATTGTATTTTATAAGGATGATATTGATGCTGTTTTAAAATCCTTCTAACGGATGTTCTACTTATACCTACTACTTCGGCAATCTTTTTTTGACTTACATGAGGATCTTCTATCGCTGTTAAAATTACAGATAATTGGTAATCATTATCAGTAGCACGTTTGTCAATTATTCGTTTTTTATAAGCAACTTTTCCTGTTTCGGTAAATCTTTCATGTAACTTTTCAAAACTTTTTTGATCAGAGATGCGTCTATCGGGATATCGTTGATGATAAATTCTTTTTGCCAATAAACAATTTCTGTCGGATTCTCCCAAAACATAGACCATGTCAATTAATTCGTTTTTCGTAAAATTCATTATTAATAGAAGAATTATCGCGATCAGTAAAAATAACTTGACACTTCATTAATAAATAATCTGACACTTCATTAAGACCCAGCCTACTTGATTGAATGTTCACTTTCAACAAAACCACTGGTAGAAATTGGATTTTTGATAGATCAATGTCTTTTTGGAATTTACTTTTAAACGACGACAGATAGGTATAGGAAAGTACATGGGGAAGTCGAAGGGTATAAAATTCTCGTTTCATCGATGAATAGTAATACAGGGTGTTTTATTTGAAAAATTTGAAAAAAATGTCCTAGAAATTTTTGGAAATTGAAATTAATTTGTGACCACCCTGTACAAAATAAAAAATTAAAACTTGGTCTAAAAAAATCTTTGGTCTATTGGCTTTATAAATTTGTAGTTTTTTAAATTCTAACGTCAAATTCGAGAGAGTACTACATATTTTAATAGGCGTCTGAAAATGTAATATTTTTTAGTATTTCTTCTTTTTCTGCGAAAGGGGTAGGATGTTAGAAACAATATTTTGTGGGTATGCACTAGTGACCATGAGTATCTAAAATTGGAAAAAAAGTTGGGTCATTCCATTTAAAAAAAAAATAAGTGATTTGCCTAATTTACTATTGGGCCACCCTGTACACAAGAAAATAAATTTGGGATATTTGGTTTTGACCACCATTGACAGGTATACTTCGAATAAATCGTTAAGATTTGCATAATAGGAGTTATAAAACTACGACAAAGGTTTGGCCAACCCTGTATATATGTTCCACTAAGTATTCATATTGAGCAATATGATAAACTATTTGATATCTTAGAATCACTTTATGCTGTCTATAATGAAAACATTTTAATAGTAGGAGACTTCAACATTCCAGAATATACTTGTTTTATCAAGAGTACTACCTTAGGTGATAGAAAATCGCAGTCATTAATAAATTTTATAAACTATCTTAATCTATCGCAGTATAATCAGTGTGTCAACTTTTATAATAGATTCCTAGAACTTGCACTTTCTAATAATAGTTGCAGTGTCTCAAAATCTATCGATCCACTAGTTCTAGAAGATAAGTACCATCCAGCTCTAACAATTGAGTTACGTTTACAAAATTCTTGTCCTTTAGCTTCTTTAACTTCTACTGCTGAATATAACTTTAAAAATTGCAATTTACACTCGTTGTACCTTGACTTGGCCTTCTCCGATTGGTCAATACTTGAATACTGTGACAATGGAAATACAGCTGTTGATTTATTCTATGATTTATTAAACGACATGTTCCATAGAAATATTCCACTCAAAAAAGTAAGCAAACGTCATTATCCTGCTTGGTTCAATAGTTACATTATTGTCCTTATCCAACAAAAGTCCAAGGCCTGAAAAAATATTGAAAAAGCCGTAATAAAGCTAATTATGTAAATTTTAAAAATATCAGAGCATTAGTTAAAGAGCAAACAAAATTACATTACCAAAATTATATTAGATCAACCGAATCAGATATTACTCTCGACCCTTCCAAATTTTGGTTTTTCATAATATCCAAAAAAGGAGAATCATCAATTCCCCAAGATATGAATTTAGATGGTATGAACTATAATGGACCTTAAGAAGTCATCAATGGTTTTGCTGATTTCTTCTCAAAAAATTAGAATTAATAGGATTTATGTTTTTTAGCACATCAGTCTTGGTCACCGATAAGACTTGTTTTGATTTCGGCTTAATAACGACTGAAGATTGTTTTTGAGCATTTTGAACAGCATTTGAGTTAATTGGCGTATTTAAAGAGCTAAGATTCATTGTATGATCACTATTCTCACAGCTTTCGTTCAATCTCATGCTTTACTATAATAATAAGGTCTGTTTTAATTGAATTTATTCATGTATCAATGTCAGCTGTTTTGCTTCTTACTACATCTCCTACTATCTTCTTAAAGTTTTCAATATCTTGATAGATTGATGATAAATTATCAGAATATTGGTGGACAGTTTTGGTTTCTTGAATGGAGCATTTTGTTCTATACGAATCACACATAAAATAGACGTTCTTATTTTTTGTAAACATAGTAAATTCAATGTTTGTAAATGCGACCAGAAGTGGTGAAACCACCTATTACAAACACCTTCACAACCAATTAAACCTTCATTTTTCTTTATGTTGCATTTATTGCAAGGTTCCCCGTCGGAGCTCATTTTTAACGCCGCCTATGAACAATAGCATCAAGTACTTTTTTTACTAATATAAAATAATCAAAAGGTAATTTATCTTCAAAGGCAGAAGATAAAAAATAAATATCAGTGTGTATTATCATTAAAGACCGGACAATTTAATTTATTCTTATCAGCGAAGTAACGGTAAGAGCGGACCTTCGATTTGAATAATACATTCTGAATAAAACAAGTTATTTACTGAACTGGTCGACACAGTAGATAAGATATTGGATTTTTATCGCCCGGGCGTAACATTTGGGGCGGGCTTATTATTACATTTACATTGCAATAATTATTTTATTAAATTTTAGTTCAAATTTGGTTGGATATTATTATATAATTACAAATGATATTATTATTTATTTTTTTATTGTGTTGTGGGATAATGTTGTTGGCTTTTTCTGTTAATATATTATTGACTAATAAATATATCAACGAGGATACACCATCATTAGTTTTATGTTTAGAGTGTTCCAATATACACTCTTTATCCTAAAGTAGCAAATATACAATTATATACAATATATACAATACAAATTAATATCAATCTTCTTCATTTGAAAAATATGTTTGTATGACTGCATATTTTTCTAAATTGTCTTCAGTGAAATTACTTCTTTTAGAAGTCAATAAATCTTTAAACCTAGAAAACGATCGTTCTACGTCACAACTCGTTACAGGAGCAAATGAAAAATGTGGAACAAAATCACAATATTTTAAAGCAGTTTCATAATCGTTAAAATTGTTCAGGGAGATTTGTTTCAGAGTCTGTAAATTTGGATTTCTTTTAATAACACAATCTATTTTATGGTTAAATTTATCTTGTAAGGGCCACTTTACGTTTTTTAAGTGTAACAATGTCGATTCAAATTTTTCCATAGCAACCGATAATTGTAAGTTACGGGTTTCAAGGAATTTTATAGTTTCTGGGAGACACGAAAAATAAGTCGCAAGAAAATTTAACTCCGACTGCAAAGTTGTTTTTGTTATTAAACCTTTACACTGAGTGATAGAGAGAGCGTCCTCTGATAAGTTGGAAATAAATACTTTTAGTCTGTCGAAATGCTCCGAAAAAAAGAACACAGCCTGTAACCAAGTTCCCCATCGTGTAATAACTGGTTGTGGAGGTAGGGGGATATTCGGACATATTTCTTTATATAAAGAAACTCGGGACGGTGCTTTTAACAAAATTTTTTTAAAACAGCTAATCAACGAATTAATGTCTGGAAAGCTGTCACGGATAAACTCACAAACTCGGTGTAACGCGTGAGCAAGGCAAGTTACATGCAGCATGTTTGGAAAATGTTCTTGTAATAGTTTCCCTGTTTTCAACATTAC